AAATAAATTCTACACTGGAATAACGGCGATTAGCAGTGGATTATAAATATAACGTTACTTAATTATTCAAATACTCGAGGTGGTTTTAATTACACAGATAAACATTGTCGCAGTACAGTGTTTATTATCTTAATGTTCTTTTTGAATGTCATCATTCAAAGTGTTTCTGTCTACTTTCATTCAGTTACAGCGATAGCTGGCTGTTTTTGTCCATATTAGGGATTTCCTGTAGCGTCCTGAGTTCTATTTCTTCTATAATGCATATGTGGATTTTCTGCGCGAGGGAGGCATTACATGTGTTAATTTAAAAACTAAGGTATTTATTGAACCGTGGGCTAACTGTATTGTTGCATCCCTACTTTTTACTCTAAAATAGGCCTACTGTATAACAGGAATATCACAAACTGAGTGCAGACCCTGATTATTAACCTATAAAAATATTTAACATTAAATCTGCCTTTTCATACATTTTGTTTTAATGAAAATAGAATTATGTGCAGTAGGCATGAGCAGTAGGCCTATATTAATATTATATTGGTTGCCTTTGCTGTCATCTATCGCTCACTTAAATTTGATCTTTAAAAACGCCACTAAAAATGTCATAAAGATAAAAGTGAGTGCATATGGGACATTCAGGATCTTTAACAAAATCAAATGATTGATTTGTTACTAGGGGTGGGACAAATAAAATAAGGTTGGTAGTATTCAAATACAGAAATGTAATAATTAGGGGAAATAACACTTTATAGTGTTCACTGTGTAAATTAAATATAGATTTGTATCACAGCTATTTTGTTGTTTGATGATCATTAATGAGAGCAGCAGTATTTATAGGCCGCTGTCCCTTTAAGACCTGATGCACGGATCCGATATAATGATACACTTCACATCCGATTTCTTTCTCAGCCTTTTTCATTCACTTGAGATAAGTTAGCTTGGATCACGTAACTCTCCTGCAGCATCTCATTCTGTTTCCTCCACTATTTTAGATGCATTTTGTCCATAGAAATAAGTAATTCAGTGCTTTAATTTGATGCGACCGGCTGAAGTTGGACAAGTATGTAAACTCCGTTGGACGTGCACTGTGGGCAGACCCGATTAATCGATAATGAGAATCGTTGTCGATGATTTTCATAATCGATCATAATCGATTTTATCGATTAGTTGTTGCAGCCCTACTTTGAAGTCATACACCGATCAGTCTGCGCAGTGCTGCTTCAGGTCGAACACCTATTGGGTTTGTGGTGTTGTTGTTGTGAGCGCTAGGGACCGTATATCCGCCATACGTCATCGCGTCGCTATATCATTGATATCGCAATATGGCACTTTTTTATCATATAAAAATTTATACCGGTATTTATAAGTTTATGCTTCGCATCTGGACATATTTGTAAGAATATCACTCCACTTTTTATAACCTGCTGCTCCAAGGAACTTCATACAATCCAAGTAAAGACTGAACTCAGCACTGCAGTGAAGATAAATCTTCGTGTGGAATGTTGTTTCTTTCCATAAATCTGTTTACACCAAGACCACACTTTGTCCAGTAGCAGAACAGTTGAAGCTCAAAAACTGACCAAGAAGTTTGTTATATTTTTTTCTTTTTTGTATTGCGATGGATGGCAGACCAACTGACCAGAGTATATTTCTTCTATGTATGCTCGTTATGTTCTTGAACCAACCAGGAAATCAAGTTCATTGTAGTTTAACCAAGCATGGGGGCATTTACTAGGTATCTCCTGCTCTAATCAAAAGTTTCTTTCATGTATCACAGTTTAACTAATGTGGTACCAGTTTAATGGACTCGAAAGAAGGACGGTTTTGTGTGTGCTTGTTCATGCATGTTTCTGCCTGTCTGTGTTTGTATCTGCAGCCCATTTTGTCAGTGTACGACTCCTTCGGTGCCTCGACACGCACAGTGCCCAAAACAGACCAAAATGGCTCTTTGTTTACCATAGGGTGTGTGTGAGAGTCAGTGCGTGAGGGCTCGGGTGCTGCTGATTTGACGTGTGTGTTTGTCTTGTTGATTCCTCTGTTTTGAGAGTGCTGTGGTGGACAGGAAGTGGGAATAATGGAGAGAGCCAAGGAATGTAGTGTTTTTGTTTTGCTGAGCCTCTCTAACCATCATGCTGCTGCCGAGACCAGAGGAACCTTCGCCGGCTCAAATACGTCTCTTACTCGCTCCCTTTCTCTGTCTAACAACATGGCCTAATCAGACTCTGCAAGCTCTTCTGTGTAAACCTGAGCTTTTGAATTAACCAGACAAGAGACAGGTTATTTGATAAGTTTGGTGGTGTTGCCTGCCGGTAGCCCTGCCTACTGTCCAAAATCCTGCTCTGCATTAAACATGAAACCTCTTCTGAGGTTCTGGTGTCATGCAGCAGTGATATATTCAGTGTGGACAGGCAATGTCTGGTTTGGACAGAACCCTTCAACCCAAATATTCAGATGTGTGCAGCACATTTTATGGAGGACTGTTTCCTGATCCTGGGAGAGTAGACTACAATGCCGGCTGTTCTGACTCACAGACTGTAAGTACGTTTTTTATATTTAAAGAGTTTTTATATTTTATATATTTAAAGCGAGTTTTTTGGGCAGTGATGAGTAGGGCTTGTTGTTTGTCATTTCTCCGATCACAAATGCGCACATGGTTTTATGTTTACGCAGCGCGATGCAACGCAACGCGTAAAAAGACAGTACAAGTCATTATAATCAATAATTATAATGAATCGGATACTTTTTGTAAAATTAAAATTTCGATTCCGCCTATCAATTCCTGTGTGGGCAAGAGAGGTGTCACCACCAACATGACAACGCATTTTAAATAAAACAGATCGTTAAAGATCGCGAAAACGATTCAAACACCAACGTGATCTTTCCTAAATGACAACAGTTCAGCTGTTCAACCTTTGATCTGTGCGATCACAACAGTGTGATCAACGCTCTCTTCGTCCCTGTGTGATTTGAACGTTAAAATCTGCGTTCGTGCTGCCGTTGACCTGAAGAGAGCAGCTGTCATGTATATGTATGAAACAGCTTCACAAAGAGTCTTTTCAACCACACAGTATCATTATTTCTGTGTTACAATCATTCAAATAATCACAGAAGTACGGGGATAAAAGTTTATAGTTTGGATGTAAACACTGATGTGTAAGGTAGCGATTAAAATGGAGTAAATCACCTCTTGAAAGTAATTTGACTTGTAATTCCTTTAAAATAAAAATGTATCGATTATTATGTTGTTACGCCAGTAGGTGGCGAAAAGCTGTTAAAAATGTATTTGTCTTTGAATCATTCATTCAAGAGATTCATTCAAAAACACTGAATCATCCAATGAATGAAACAAGTAAATCTTAAGTGAGTCATTAAATCATTCATTCATAAATTACGTTATTTTTGTTTTTAAAAATTACATGTAATTTTTGAATAAAAAAAAAATCTCAATTTATCCACAATTGTGCAGCTCTATTTTGCACACAAACAGCTCTTAATTAAGTCCATGTAGCCTGCTGATTTTTGTTCATGGTATTCAGTTGCATCTAAATGTTTAGCAAAAAGAGACAGAATAAATATGGTTGAGATAAATGTTTGAATTCTTTGGAATAGACACTGGGAATCGATACGAATCGGAATCGATAAAATTCAAACGATACACAACCCTGTTCCTGACCAGCTTTTTGATTTGCTTTTTCCTGAAACATGGAAGATGAAAGGCCATGCTGGAGGCTCAACCACCAAAAAGACTCAACAAATCTGCTGTAACATGAGCTTAGACAAACAATCACGAGGGACACTGACCAGACACATCTCACGTGCCGTTTGAACATACTGAGATTCAACTTACTTGAGCAGACTCTGAAGCCAAGCTGTATGGTCACTGATGAACCATTACTAGTGAACAGACTGATGGAGTGGAGCTCCTCCTCCACTTACAACTGAGATAGATACTGAAGGAGCTGAAGCGTGATGAGTACTGTTTGAAGTGCATACAACAGATCACACACACACACGACTATAAACACCACATTCTTTTAATGAAGAACTTCTGCCAAAATGTGCCCCTCCACAGACGAGTCCCAATTAATTTGATACAACAGCTACAATCTTAACAGTTCATGTCAAACTAACTGAGCACTAATGGACAGCCACAAGATCGGAGATCAAACTAAATAGATAAATGCATTAACAGGGTTGATCACCCAAAAATGAAAATACTGTCATCTGTAATATGGTTTGCTATAAATAACACGTCAGCACTACCGTATGCTGGAATATGAGCAGTCATTTATTACGTCATCACCTGGGTGCTGATAACGCGCGCACAGGTGAGACCTGAACAGCACACGTTGATATCTGCGTTTAAACTAAACTCATTTAAGCTTTGCCAGTTTAAACATTTAAGAGCCAGAGGACGCGAGCTTGCGCGCGCAGTGAGAAGATTTGTGTGTGGGCTCATCCGAAGCGCGCAAACCCGCGCCTCAGAACACGTGCAAATATTAAGCTCTCTCTGAAGTATTGTGTTTAAATGGACAAATTCACACAAAAATTGTCAAAATGCCCGTCTTGGTAAGTATCCTATAGCAGACATAGCCGGCTGAACGTACTGTATCAGTGCACTGGATCAATGCATTCTCTTAAAGTGACAGCACTATTAATAAAACTGAAATCACTGTTTATTTTAGTTGTATTTTTACTCTATTGTATTTATTTGTGCTGTTGCTTGTAGTTAGATAGATTATTCTTATTTTCTTTATTTTTATTTGACAGTATAGTTTTTGCCTAAACATAGCACATACTGAACCGTGCCGAAACCGTGACTCTAAAACCGTGATACAAACCGAACCGTGAGTAAGTTGAACCGTTCCACCCCTAGTACTGGTATATTGCAGCACCCTAGTTCAAACGTTTGATTATGCATTGTCATGTATGCTTGGATAGAGATTAAGTCTGTTTCTTCTCATTAGCCACAGGTGAGTGACATCATCTGGGCTCTGCTTAACCAGCTGAGTAACCTGCCATTGTAACAGACTTCAGAAAAATGATCTTACCAACAGGCTTCATAAACACTGTCTTTCATTGGTTTAGCAAATAAATAATGTCCTCCCAAACTCAAGCCATTGCTTGAGTCAGAAGTTGAAGAGTCAGAAGTTGAAATGTCAGAGCATTCAAAAACAGCATTGCTAAAAGCATCACAGAGCCGCAATGTTTAAAAAGAGCTGTAATCAATAAAGCTGTTTTCAGGGGTTTTCTGTTTCATAAATTCCTTAAGGTGCATTTCAAGCTCAAGGCTCTTATAAATGAGTGATGTATGTAATGTCTCAAGACTGTCATTGCTAACAGTATGATAACCCACACATGACCTTGTGTTTATCTGATGCTCATAGCACAACTCATGACCCTTACATTAGAATTAACTTTTAAAATTAAAAAGTTCAGAGAGATGCACAAACACATCTTCACTGTAGATCAATGACTGCATGCTTTCTATGGCTCATCAGAACACTTACTACTGATATAAAACGGTACATGGTATTTCTGTGTCACTCTACTGTGACCCATCACATGATCTAGTCTCTTCTGTTTCCTGCTGGAAGATAAAACAAAGATAGACTGCTATTTCAGTTCAGAATAACTCATTATTACAGCCAGTTTCTTGTGACAGACGTCATCACATCTGAAGATTAACTTTATCAAAATATTTTTTTTTTTGTATTGATAGAGAATGTGACAGAAAAATATAAAAGTATTGATTTAAAGATCATACTTAAAGAAGATTGATTATATAGAAAAATGGATTTTACATTTATTGCACGTTATGCATGCACACGCACAAAAACTGGTAAATTCTCTTGCTGAGGAAAAATAAAGTTAGTTGACAGGTTTATAACTGTAGTTACCAACATAATAACACATCTATGTTAACCGTACAGTTGTTTGAAAGTGACTCTGTTGCCCCCTTGAGTACAGGGTGGCCACGGGTCCTTAAAAAGTCTTAATGTCTTAAATAAAGTTTTCCCTAAAAAAGGCCTTAAAAAGTCTTAAATGTGTTAAATTCAGATTCAGTGGGTCTTAAATATTTTTGGTCACATTACCACAAAAATTTCTACAGTCTGATGGACCCAGTGACTGTTTACAATCATTGGACGGACTTCAGTGCAACCTATAACATCCAAGTGAAAAATATAACACCAACATGTCAGAAAAAAAAAATAATAATAATAATAAAAAAAAAATAAAAGAATCACTGAGTTGGAAAACAGATCAGCGCCCCTCCTAAAAAAACTAAATCAGGTGTAGTTAACCACGTTCTCTATGGCACACAAAGCCATTTGACTTTCATTTGTGATCAGCTGTGATCATTTTGATTAGTTCAGCATGAAAAGAGCTTTCCTGGAGCATTTCAGTCCTTGGTAGTGCAACTGAAGCAAGCAATCAACTATGGGTGACAAGGCACCAATCACCATCCAAATATCACCATTCCTACAGTAAAGCATGGAGGTGGTAATGTCCTGTTATGAGATGTAGAGTAGGGCTTGTTGTTTGTCATTTCTCCGATCACAAATGCAGACATGGTTTTATGTTTACGCGGCGCTATGCAACGCAACGCCTAAAAAGACCGTACAAGTCATTATAATCCGTAATTATGGTCCCCACTGGATGCAACAAATGCCTCGTTTATAATGGGTTTTAATGTTTTTGTCTTGTCGCTCCGGCCGGACAGGGCATCACAGTATGATAGGGGCGTAACATTTCCGTCACACGCTTGAGGTATTCGGCCAATCACAACGCACTGGATAGCTGGCCAATCAGAGCACACCTCGCTTTTCAGACCGATGAGCTTTGTAAAAATCGACGCGTTTCAGAAAGGCGGGGCATAGAGGAGAAACAATAATGTACAGTATGTGGAAAATAATGTGTTTTTTGAACCTTAAACCGCATAAACACATTTCATTACACCAAATACACAAAATAATGTTCTTTTTAGCAACATCATATGACCCCTTTAACAAAAGGACTTTATCTTGCTGGAGTTTAGTGCTGTTTCTAAATCACATTACTTTCTACCGGGTGTCTGTTAGATCACAACACTGGAGTAGAGAGCAGTATGAATTGTTCTTCACACAATTCTTCTGAAATTTTCTTCTGAAATTTAAAACCTTTAAAAGAAAAGACTCTATCATAGATATAATACACTACGCATCAGTATCACTTCCCTTTGTGCTTTGAACTTTTCTATGAGGAGCGCTGCACACTGTGACTCCATGTTGCACTCATAATTTTTCTAGAGTAACTTTTGCTGCTGAATTATCCTCTAACCTAGTTTATAATAGTATTTTTGTCATAGATTATGATTATATATTTTTTAATTTGTTATTTTTCAAATTCTTGAGGAAAATCTGCTGCCCTCTGCCAGAAAGTTGTCAATGGGAAAAGGGTTGACCTTCCGATATCCGCTTCGTCATGCCTAGAGCTGATCCGTGCTGGTCGCTGAGGAAATACATCAAATTCGTGCTGTGTATCGCCGGATCGGCTTTCACCGTGGATGAAGCGGAGTCCAGCACGGATATTTTTGTCATAGATTATGATTATATATTTTTTAATTTGTTATTTTTCTACTTAATGAAGTTGTCTATATTTAGTAGATTGTGTTTAACACAAAACAGTGATGATCAGGTCAACACATAGAGGTATAGAAATTCTACATTGATTTAAAAAAAAAAAACTTCGGATCGGTTCTGAAAAAATGGTATCGGGGCTTCCCTAATACGTATGTAATATAATGTGTATTTCCGTCACAGGTTTGGTCTTAAATTTCACATAAGGGGTTATTAAAAAGGTCTTTAAAAGTCTTAAATTTAACTTGTTCATATCTGTAGACACCCTGGAGTACTATCTGCTTTTATAGCTCATGTTCTTCTGAACATGAATTCTGGGAATGTTGCTTGAGCTGCAGAGACTTGACCACATGATTGTTGGACAGGCCTACAAACACTTGCTTTCACAATGAGGCTTTGTGCTTATCTGCTTTCTAGCTGCTGTTTCAGGACAGACTATACCGTGTACAGTTTACTGTTTTTCTAACTTTTTCTGTCTTTTATCCCTCTCCATCCAGTAGAAGTTGGCTACTACTGATCATGGGGATTGGATTGGTCACATGACTGAATGCCTTTCTTGTTTCACAGATTGCAGACACGCAAAGACGTGCAGGTTCAAACACATTTTTAGCAAATGTGGAATTGAGACAAGTTAATGTGGATTTGTCCATGAATATAGTATATCAGTGTTGTGTAAAATGTCTGTGTGTGTGTTTGACAATACAGACTGATGGCAATGGTAAAACTGTGCGGATCCTAATAGCAGAGTGGTGCTTTGACCAGAAACAGGAGGAACGCATACGCAGCTCTGAATAAAAAATGGGATGAACAACAACAACAAGAGTGTCATTTCTTTGTACTTGAAAAAGCTGGCACCTTATACAACACAAATTTGATTGTTGCAATAAATACTATACTAAGGACCCCCACGGTATCTATGGTGTGATGTTGATTAAAAAGTGCGTTTACAGTTGTGAACTTGCAATGTAAGTTTTTTTGGCCAAACATACAGCAAAAAAAACCTTTTATTCAGAGTGTAATAACTGAAACTTCCAATAAAACGACAGAGATCTCTCTGGTTATGAATGCCAAATATCTCCACTTAACCCTTTATTGCAATTTACTGCAAGCTCGCATAATTTTTTGAGTGTAATGTCCACATCTCAAAATCCAATCAACTACCGATGGACAGAACCAAGTCCCCACCCTATTTATTTATTTATGTATTTTTTTTTTTTGGTTTTGTTTTTCTTTCAATAATCTGTTTCACTCAGATGCATGGCACAATTACGGAAGAAAAGATGTCGCTACGTCTGTTTAATCACAACTTAAACATGATTATTCTGTTTTTCTGCAGATACATGAAAATCGGTTGTTCCCTTTCAGAGGAGTTCACATTAGATAAACTCCCTATAGACTGCTTAATTTAAGATTAAAACAGAGTGCATACTAATTTGGTGTAGAATTTATGACATTCAGTTGTGCAATACTGGCTGTGATGTGCTAAAACCGGAAGCAGTGAATCAGGCACAACATATGGCGTCTTTGGCACCTCAGTGCATTCGTCTTGCTTTTTCTCTGGAAATGTACATGGTTGTTTTTTTTCTTCACAGCATCATTATATAATGTGGACTTGAGGCATTCTGATCGTGCCTGACATTTAGCACACACTTTAAAGGTGAAATGTGTCAGTTTATTTTAAACAGGTGTCCAGAGCACTCCTGCTAACCTTTTGTGGCCCATGTTTGGACAAACAGTTGTCACTACCTCAAACTTACAACATTAGTTCAGCAAGTAGTTGATGTCTCAGACCACTCAGACTGATGGAGCAATATATGATTCTTTGCTTCCTTTTCATTTTCATTGGAACCGATTGACACAGTTTTGGTATCTGAACATTTTAAGATATGAGTGTCAAATATGAGTGTCTTAGCTTACACTTGTCTTTGTACATTAAACTCGGATAAGAGAACTATTTGAAAAAATTACACGGCTCACCTTTAAAAACCTTACTGGAGATTCATCTGTACGTTCACCTGAGCTCTGCATCTCATTTGACTTTGGTTTGGAATGCAAATCAAATCGTTTGTTGTAGCTCAATCACAGAGGCCCGTGTGGATGAGACACGCTATTCTCCTCCTGTACTGACTTCAGTGGTTTGGCAGTGACGCCTCCGTTTGCATCAGAACAGTCTGTACGAAGAGGAGGAAGACCGTGTGATTTGTGCTTGCATTGCACACCCATTTCCTCTTGTTAATCGGCACTTGTATCGGCACAATCATGTATGACAAGAATAATTTCTGGCATCATATTCAGGAAAACTAGTCCTCTTATCAAAGCACCTTCGTTTTAAGAAACACTTCAATTTGAATTGATTATGGATGTAATCATGTACTTTCATAGTAAAA